AAATGAAAAATTTCCATGTCAAGAAATAAAATAATATATATATATATATATCTCCATTTTAGATATTCCTAGGTCAAGCTAAAATATTTGAAAACTTCTAACAGCGCAATTGAACCAAATATGTAATTGAAACAAGTAGAACAACTATAGTGCCACGCAATTAAATACCTTACATGCCTTTGCTTAATACAGTTACTCACATAAGAACTAAGCCTTGTACTAGAGGTGGTCCGATTCGAACAGCGTTTTTACTAGCATTCGTCCATTGTCGGTGTACCAAATTAAATTAAAATATGTCGAATAACTAGACGGACAGACGGACAATTGCACGGACAGACAGATCTATTCAGAAAGTGACTCTAAGTTGGTTTTCCTAATAAAAAACGGTGCTATCAACGCAAACTAAATACAACCTAACCTTGTACCATTGTATTGTTCCAAATATATCAGCTGAACCTTGAAATAATTTTTCTCATTTATTTATTTGCTTTTGTAATCGTTTTTCTAAAAAAAAATTAAAAGAAAAGATGACTTGCTTTAATAAAGTCTTCCAGAGGTCTTAAGCCTCCTGCCTTCTGCCTCGATTGGCAAGGAAAAGTTTTTCTTCAAGTTTACAACGTCCGAAAGTGGGAGGTGCGAGAAAGTGAAAGGTGTACTGACAAATACTGTTGGCTGCTTTAACAACTTATTATTATTATTGTATATTATTATTTTATTTGACTTTTGCAAAAAAAACTTCTTTGAGGTGTATTTAATTTATCAGAGCATTTGCAACATCCAGAAGCAAGCGCTGCTAGTTGATCAGTATCGAATTCTGAATCGCTTTATTCATGGCCATCCATCTGGAGGGAAACAGGAACTTTGGAAGTGTTTGGGCGCAGATTAGTATAGCAAAACGGTAAAATCGTCTACAGTGCAACACTAGCTGAGACCACCTTTGCTACATTTTTTAGGATAAAGGAGATGCATACAAAAAATTCGAACATATATCGGAGTAGAATTTTCTTGTTTGTTTACCTTAACTTAATGTCAATATTTTCTTACGAATATTGCGTTGTAAAATTTAACATTTGATTGGACAAGTTGCAATAACAATCCGTTGCTATGTTTACTGCAGCTTATCGATGAAAATATTGCATAACTTTGCACGAAAATTTCTACAGAAGACACAAACAAAAGCATATTGTTGCTCAACTTGCCTATAGGCCCAAAGTATGAGATTTTTTTTGTATTAAGTGGCATATGACATTTAAGCCCACGTTCCTTGCGGGACGCATTCGTTGAAATCCGTGACATGTATAAAGCTTAATTACGTTTTCATCGTATAAACTTGGAATAATGAAAAAGCTTGATATGTCCTAAAGAATTACAAGAATTATCATCACGGGAAACTGCTTTCTCCATCTTCTGCACAGTATGAGAATAAAGTGAGAAAGGTCATGAAATGTTAGTAGCAGCTTCCAGCTTCATTATGATTAAACATCTAAATGAGTGCGAAAGTGTTTTGTTCTGTTGAAGTTATCCCAATGCCGAGTTAATTATTAGTTGTTCAATTCGTTTCGTGTAATCTGTAAAATGTGCAAACCACTTACGTAATTTTCTTCCTATGTCCTAACGCGATTAAAATCATTACCAGAGTTTTATTGTACTTATGTTGTGTCACAACAATGCTTCTTAACCTGTTATGTTTCCGAAATCGATGTGTGTTGGAATGTGCGGCTTGAAGCTGTTAAATAGAACTAATATATAATAATAAGCACAAATTATTGCTTTCTTAATTGTATGACATTAAACTTAAGCAATGTTAATTACAATTCGGTGGGTAGTTGGGTTCTCTTGCAGATAAATAAAATCAAATGAAACCAATTCATCGATTAGATCGATTGAAATGTAATCAAATTCACGGGAATCAGATTCTTAAATAAAATATTCTAAATTGAAGAGGTGCCCATCAGAAGCAGTCCGGCAGATTAAGAAATAATTGCAGAGACCATAAAAAACGTATAATTTTCTAATTTGTTCAGAATGTGTGCACAAAGCATTATAAGTGATCAACACACAACAAGTTTCCTAACACATTTTCTGCCCTGGTATATAATATATTTACTGAATGTATATGTGATACTTTTTTCTATATATATATATAAACTTTCTTCTATTTAGATATGATCAAAGTTGCAAGTCTTTTACGGTCGCTTTTCAAAGTGTGAATAGCAACCATAGACAACAAAAGAATTAAAGCCGGGAGAAAAAATCGTAAAAAAGTCAACTGTAATTGAAAATATGCTACAATGCAGGAAGAATCAATAAGAGAGAATTCTATTTCACGGTATTTGCGTGAAATTTAAATACTCATCAATTTGAAGCGCTTTCTCGAAATTATAAAAGCTTAGGACTGCTTCCGTTTTTAACTGATAGCCGTTGCTAGCGGCGGCACTAGAGCTGTTGCACTTATAAAGACTTTTATTGGAAGACACAGAATACAATAGACCTTTCAAGTCGCGGGACCGGGTTGCTTACGAACTGCACATTACCACGCCTGAAGACGCATTATCTGAGTGTTAATGGCTATTGAATTATAATGTCAAAGGACTCTTGATATTGCTGACGCATGGATTCCTTTGCAGAGTTTACGAGTCTTTGTCTTTTGCTTATAAGCAACAGTTCTATTAACTGTTTTAAAGGTGGTAATCATTCGCGTTCACCTGATCAACCTTAGATCGCACAAGTTAACAAAATTCATTATATCTTGGGCACGAAGGCATTTTCAGAAATATTCCATCTAAAGAAGAAACACAAAAAAAAAAAAAAAAAAATTAAGGAAAAAATATTTCTTTCTTTCTTTTTCATTTCTAAACATAGTTCATATTTAAACTACTTTACTGTTGATCCTGCCTTTCGCTATATTAATTATTAAGAGCAAGACGCCAAGTACCTGGCTTTAACCTATTACTACCGAACAGAATCCGCTTTGAATAGGACGTCTAAGGAAGAAAATCGACCTTTAACACTTTCATTTCGGCAAATGCGATAACTGTTGTGTGCGCTCTTTTTATCTAGATGTTCGTCTTGGAAGCTCGCAGAGTCTACTTAAACTTTCCCATGAGTGCATTTTATTGCTTAAAACGAGCGAGTAGCCTCGTTTACTTCCACATTAGAATCGAAAGCAATGCAGTAGTGCATTACATTTTTCCAAGCTTAAGCGTTTACGGAGAGCTTTCAACAGTGATGGCTGTCAGAAGAATGCGAAAGAAACTGCTACTGTGTTCAAACTTTAAACTTATGCCTTACAAGGTTTTTAGTATCGATTACAGTAACTTCTTGCAAACAACAACCGCCATTTGTACACTAGATTGCATGGTTCCGCGGTTACCTTCGTAGGAGAATTTTCTATATTATAATTACGCAAAGTGAAGGGAAACAGATAACTTAATTCTCTCTGCTCACTGATGATCATGCTTTAAAGGATGTGAAAAAGTGCACGGAAGTAGGGACATTTTGAATAGATTGGGATTGTTCTCCTGCTTTGATATGTTTTTAAATTGATAACTAAGCACTTGAAATTAGTATATAATTTAAAAACAATAATTTTTTTTCCTCCTACGCAATTTACAGTCGAAATTATCTCAAATAGTATATATTTTCTGCTTTCATCGCGTCAAGTTCTTTAAAATGTACACTGTGTGCGTGTGTTTTATATACACGAACTGTCCATGTATCTAGCTTTAATTATATGAAAAATGTTAAAATTTATTATTATTATTATTATTTTAATTTTAGACTAATGAATTGAATTCTTAGACTAAAAAAAGAGATATTGAGCACTAGCAACACAGGCTATCGGCTCTTTGTTTGTTTTTCGAACTTTTTAAATTTCATAATAATTTTTGTGTTGATTTGTTGATTGCCAGACTTCAATTTTTTCTTTGTGATTTTAACAATACGAGTTTGATAGATAAACCAGTTACACAAGATGTCTATCAAGATTCCCAAGTTGTACAAAATAATAATAAAAAAGGACAAGAAGTAGACGGTGTTGTACATCAGAATTGCATCGCGCGAATTAGCTTTCGCTAGATTCGCTGTGTATCTGGTTTCTAAGACTGGCAGAAGCTTTCTTCTGTTGTAACTTATGTACTAAATATTGCTACAAGTAATATTTGGGTCAATTAAAGTGTGAACATCAGCAAATGCTGACTAAGATTATACTAAAATTAAATTGGTATGTTGAGGTATGTTAAATATATCGCACATAATTGCCATTTGAATCGAATTTTTTTTTTTTTTTTTTTTTTTAATTTAATGAAGTTACCGACCGTTAGGTATTTCTATTCAAGCAAGTTGAGAAATTTGTTAAGGGAAAAGCTAGAGAAGGAAAAATTAACTTTCGTAAGCGTTACTAACGAAGGCAGCCTTTGTTTGCCGTATCGGGTCACAAGGGTAGAGAGAAAAGAAAATGGTTTTGTGCTAAGGTAATAATAAATATATAGAAGTTCTTCTAACTTCCGAAAGAAATCAAATATTTGTTCTTTATATATTTTTACAAATAAAGATAAATGAAATTGAAAAATAAATAAAAAGCAAATATTAATAAACACCCCCGCTTTACTTTACATAACCGAATATGAATTGTACAAATGAGACTATAATGCGTGTGTGTGCACAGACATTTTCTCTTATATATATGTGAGTGTGTGTGTGTTTTTATGCTTAATGCAATAACTTTAGCAAACAATATGGAACGAATCAATTATGAAGAAAAACAATGCATACAATAAGAACGATATCAAATACAATAGAACCCTTAATAATAAAGTATAAACAATTATTTAAATGATATCTAATATACACACACCGATGCATACAGCTTCGGTTTATATATAAAACTGTGTACATTTAATTTAAAAACATCTTCTCTCTCGATTTTGAATTTTCAATCAAAATTTTGAAAAGTTTCGTGTTTTAGACAATTTCAATTTAATATATATTTTGCTCTTATTGAGTTAGTTATAAAAATTAGATAAATTATTTTCTACAAATCCGTTTCGAAAAATAGGAAAAAAATCGCGATAATCTATTTTATAGATAATCATATATAATACATTGTACATATTGAGAAAAAGCTGCTTCGAACAGCATCAGCCCATTATGTCTCAAATGTTACGTTCATTGAACATGCTCGGATGCAGCACAAGAGTTTTTGAGCATACGCGTAATTATGCATCACAGCATCTTAATCAGATACTGCAATTGCAGCATACAGAAATTTGTGCTGATCCGCCTTCTCGCGCCTTAGTATTAGGCGTGTACGCGGATGAAACTGATAAAGGCGACTCAGGAATTTTGACGCAGGCGGCTTGGCGTTATAATCAGTCGCGGACGAATGGTCGCATGTTAGAAGTGTTGCGTATGTCCGGGCCAATGCCCAAACGAGGCGAGGCTAGACTACTATTCGCCATGGAGCCAGAAAAAGTTCCTTACTATTCGGCAGTAGCTGTAGTGGGCTTAGGTAGAGAATGTTTGGGTTATAATCCGTATGAGATAATTGACGAACAAAAGGAAGCCATTCGACGATCGGTAGCTCAGGCGTGCATGCAATTATCACGTTTAGAGACAGATAGAATTGATGTAGAGAATTGCGGGCACGCCGAATCGGCCGCGGAGGGTGCAGCTTTGGGCGTTTGGGCTTATCAAGAGTTGCGATCTCCGAAAGATCGTATCACCGTGCCCGCAATTGATTTGTACACAACCAAGGATGAGATATGCGATCTTGAAGGATGGCGCATTGGACTTCAGAAAGCTTCTGCACAAAATCTAACACGTCAATTACAGGAAATGCCTTCGAATATTTTGACACCTACAGCTTTTGCTCAAAATGTCGTTGAGGTCTTATGTAAATCGGGTGTAAATGTAGAGGTCAAAGTTGAGGGCTGGGCCGAGAGCCAAGTAATGAATGCCTTTTTGTCGGTGGGCAAAGCTTCATGTGAGCCACCAATTTTCTTGGAGCTCAGCTACTATGGCACGTCGTCCGAGCAGAGACCGATCGTATTGGTAGGTCAGGGCATAACCTACGATTGCGGTGGGCTATGCTTGAAACCTTACGAGAAATTAAAACTAATGCGTGGCGACATGACTGGAGCAGCCGTGGTTGTTGCAGCTTGCAGAGCTATAGCAGCTTTACGTTTACCGGTCAACATTAGAGGCCTTATACCACTTTGCGAAAATGTGATGGGCTGCAATTCATTTCGATCGGGGGATATTGTAAAATGCATGAATGGCAAACACATTAAAATTCAACGGACCGATTATGAAGACGTCTTAATACTAGCGGACGCTCTTTTATATGCTCAGAATTTCTGCCCAAAATGCATTGTCGATATCGGTACTGCGTCATGGTGTTTGAATCACACATTGGGAGAGGCCGCTTGCGCCATTTTTACTAACTCTGAAATTCTATGGCAGCAAATTAAACACGCTAGTATGCATACGGGCGATCGAGTTTGGCGAATGCCTTTGTGGGACTATTACAGAACGAATATGACTAGTGGCATGTCGACCGATGTCCAGAATTATGGTGTGGGTAGGGGTGGAAAACCGTGCAAAAGTGCCGCGTTTTTGAGAGAATTTGTACCCTGTGGTCAATGGATGCATATCGATGCGACCAATGTGATGACAACTAGGGGTAATACCTTTGAGTATTTACGGGCGGGAATGGCCGGTCGTCCGACACGCACGTTAATTGAATTCATCGCCCAAACCATATGCAAAGACACTGCCCCCAAATCCCCGAAAAAGGAGAACTAGCCAATGCTTGAGGTATCACCGCAAGAAGGCTATAATCTCTTATCCTCTCTCGTACTTCAATTTTCATTTCATTTTCTTTTCTTATTAAGTGACTTGAAAAGTTTTGGCCTAGGTGGAAGCGAATTTTCGAATTTGTAAATTTAATGTTTTTTTTCATAAAAATCCAATTGTGGCGTGTGCGAGCATGCAGTATCTGTTTTTTTTTTTACAAAAAAATCTATATTTTTGATGTAATTTTCAAATAAAGTCGGCTCAAATTTAATCAAAAGAAAATAAATATCTTCATTCATTTGCAAATCAGGCAAGGTGGCGAAGGGCCCTTTTGAGATGACCACAAGCGGATAAGGTGAAGATACTAACAGGCTACATACGAACGTTGGCTAATCGATTTTCCATATTACGAGCGTACTTTCTGCGCTAACAAGGGATTAAAACTAGTATGGACGAACTTTCGGTAGGGGATAGAAATGGGATGGAAATAAATTAAAGCGCTATGCTCTCCTGATAGTCCACAGCACTTCGACTCATTCAATCATTTACTCAACTTTTTCATAAAATATCGAAATACGTGTATCAGCATTATTCAGGTTTCAGCCAAAAAAAAAGAGTTTATTTTTTTTGATTGAATATCTGAAATTCCTTGTTCATCATCAGTTTAAGTATTGCAGATATTGTAAATAATATTATCATCTAATGAAGCTTGTTATTTTGAGAATAAAAAAAGTTATTACGAAGGTATGCGAAGACATCGCTCTATGTTCGCGACTGCCGAGTTGTTGCAAATAAGATAAATGGAGGCTTTGAATGCTTGTAAGCGTAATAGTAACAGTGTAACAGTAATGAAATATAACCGACCACTGTGTCACTACAAGGCAATCAAAGTTGAGCTTATTCTAAGTTATGAGTTGCATCAGTTGAAGATGTCGCGCCTTCAAATGTGCATAAAAAAAAGGGGTTAATCAAATTATCTTTGAATTGTGTGTCATTTCACTTTTCTCTTGTTGATTAACCTGGAAGCTGTCCGAATCTTTTCGTCTTTTTAACGATTACATTTGGTATTTGGAACGCGCGAAGTTGTTTTGGGATTTAAAAACCTTCTCCGAAGTTGTTGTCACTTTATCCTAGCATTCACACAGACAATAGCGATGGTTAAGGAGAAAAATAGTGTGCGATAAGCTGCAGATTGTCTTTATTTTTCTTTACATAAGCAAGGCACTTGCCTTTCAGGGACGAAGTAAATATGGGAGATCTCCTCGTTATCAAGCTCAGAAGCGCATTGTCTTGACATTTTGGATAAACTGAGCGTGAACAGTGAAGGAAGGATAAAATTGGAAATATTCCGCCAAGGGAGTAGAAACTCTCCATAACAAAGCATTATAAAGACAATAAAAATTAATTAAAGTTTTTTAAAATCGAAGCAATGAACCTAAGAGAATCCCTTTAGATAGACTGAAAGCAGATTTAATGGAATACAAGTAAAATCCATCAACGTGAAAGAAACTTCCTTTTATCTCTAATACAATATATCGGAGCAAAAATAAATCGAAGCCTTCTTAATTGAATTCTTTTCTTTTCTTTTTTTTGATTTTTAATTAGTTGCAAAAGTATATACATTGCGAGCCATATACTTCAAGTGGTAAAATGTATGAAATATTTTAGTTATATAGTCGTATATGTAAACAAAGATTTCCAACATTTGTGAAAATTTGAAAGTTAATAATAACTACAAGTGAGCGGAAGTTATAACAAAACAAGGAAACGGAAAATTTGTTGAAATATTTTATAAAAATCTAAATAAATAACTCTTCGAAAATAAAAATCCATGAAACGAAAACATAACAAAAACATAAAATATTAAAAATTTTCCTCCCAAAAGGCCCGAGAAGGAAAACAATAGAAGGAAATGAAATAATATTCAACACCGAAATCTTCATCAACAATATATTCTGTAAGTACTTTTTCTATTATTATTTTACGTTGAGATTGGTTATCTAACATCAAGTTATAAATGTGTGTGCACATAGGAGGGCAATTGCTATGAATATATATTTCTATAGAAATTGCTTTAGTGCTTTTTTCGTTTTTTATTATTTTTTTCTAAATAAGTTATTCTTCATAGCCAACAATGATTGATTTTTATACTATTTTCCACTCGAAAAAGTCCTGAAGGTAAGTTTTTATATTTGTGATCAAAGTATATATGTTATTTAAGTTTTAAGTTTGCTTTTCCTTTACAGAATACTTAGTTATTGAGATTCCGGTTAGATTCTATGTCATATTTCTGGTAGTAATAAATATCCGTTTATTACTGTTTGTCAAAAAAGTGAAAATCTTGAATCGATATACAAATCAATACATATATAAAAACAATTTCTATCTTGGCTTTGAAATATTTCAAGGGTTTTTAAAATGGCCTTAGGGAATAGCAACCTGTAAGTACGCGAGTAAATAAGAGAATTTTTTGCGAAAGCTGAAGAAATTTCTTCTTAAACTCAATAAACACTCAAACATGTCTATAATAAAAATTCTTTTTAATAAATTGTTTGGATTTTCGTAAATAAATTCTAGGAAACGATCAATAATTTCGAGATCTAAAAGAAGCTATCACCCTCTAAGAGTCATAGTAGACATTGATTTTTAATTCAAAATTATTATTTATTAAGATAAATGTAAAATTTAATTAAAAGAAAAACAAATACATTAGTAGGCCACGGCCCACCATTAAATATCGTCACACGAAGGAAAGTGGTCGAAAAAAAGCTACGCAGTTCAAACCAATATCAATAGAGTTCGTCCATTCTTTGGCTTAAAATCCAGACGTGTACCAAATTTCATTAAAATGTCTCAAAAATTACGACCTGTAGATTGAACACAAAAAAAGCAGATGGATAGGCGGACAAACAAGCTTAGATCAATTCAGAAAGTGAGTCTAAAGTGATAAATATAATGAATGGTGGGCTTACCATACCTCCTTCTGAGTATAGCATACGTCTGCACATACTTAATAGACCCTCGTCCCACAAGTGGTGTAGCATATAATGAACGCTACGACATCTAATACAAGGATGATTTTTCTATTGGTTAAATAGATGATAGACATTCAATGTTTGTCCATGGGCTGCTATTATCCGCTTACAATATCACTTTTGAAAGCTAATGTAGAACTGGAAACGCTAGCAAACTGGGTAATGAAACACGGAATGACGAAGCGATATTGAATTTTTCCCCTAAGACTTGTTCTCCTATTTTTACAAATATTTTGGAAAAACATTTGAATAAAACGTTTATGGAAACCGATTATAAAAACGAAACGTATCTTTAAACTTATATTACAAATAAGTGACTTCTTGCATAAGGCCGGAAAACTTGAATAAATTTTTCAAAGGAAGCTTGTTATAAAAAGCAATTGCATTTTTCTTTATTTATTAATTTTTGCATAGTTATAAATATGCATAAGGAACAGAACAAAAAAACAAAAAAAAAAAAGATAGAGAGAAAGGATAAAGAAAGCATTTTTAAGTTTTGCGAATTTAAATAGTAAAAAAAGCTTATGAACTCCTGACTTCTTGCCTAAGTCTAACGATTCTTACTTAAATTCAATTTTCATAAGATACCTAATGTCTTAATTCTTCCAAGGCTTTTTTTTTTTAGTCTTTATAACTAATTATCATTCAGTATTCTTTCTGTGATGTTGAGAACTTTTATTTTCTATTGTAAATGCTGATTGAAGGAAATTGAGTAGAATTTTGGATTCTCATCACTTTTAACAGTTTATCAGATATAATATTATTAACAAGAAACATTATGACCCTGGACTCTATAAAAGCTTCCTATGACTAGTCTCTTGCCTGACGCACAACGCATTCATCACGACGATTACAGACCATGGCAGTTGATATCCAGATGAAATATTCAGATAGATTTAGCAAATGCAGCGTGACCATAGTCGACCCCTAGCTTATCGCGCCGCGGAAGGCGATGTGACTACCTCACCCAGTTGGGCTGTTTTATGGGTGGCATTGTTGATGATCTTTCATCACTTCCTTCTCGCCATGTAAACCATGTTACGAATTTTAATAAAGATTCGAGAGGAGTTTTGGAACTGTTAAACATCGTTTAACTTTGGAACCTTTTATATATTATTGTACCAAAAATCATGAAAAATCGATCTAAGCTTGTCTGTTTGTCTTCCCCATTTTTATCATATCGGAGAGTCGGACCAAGGGAAATCAGAATTGGGTTATTAGCAATGAGTTGAATTACAAATGTTTTTACGAAAAATTATCTAGACATTACGAAGGCAACGAATAAATGAATAAATTTTTGTCCTTTAGCGTTAAATACTAAAAGTATTTTTATGTTTTTACGAAGAGAAAAGTTCCAAAAGGATCGAATATAGCTAAATAGTAAAATAAAAAAAAAAAAAAGGAGTACATTTCACTTAGAACCATTTACTAATTTCTTGGGGATATAATTTATGCATAAAAAATGAAAAATAAAAAAAAAAAAAAAAACAACAACACTTGGTGGTTAAGTAGAAATACTAAAAATGGAAAGCAAGCTTCGTTTTTGTTCTACTTTATAATGACAAAGAACAATGGAAATTGAAATGTCAAGAAAGTAAATTAAAAGTTGGAATATTACGATGGCTAAGTAGTTGTTGTTGAAAATTCTTATAATGTGTGAAATTTAAAGAATAAAATATCGTAACGACTTTTATGGAAAATGATTATACACAAAAAGTAAAGGGCTGACCTTTCAATACCCTACAGCACCTACGTCTAATACAGTTATTCATATAACAATTTTTGAAAGTAGGGGTTATGTGGCTGGTGGAGAAAGGGTAATTTGACACGAATCCATTTTCAATAGTACCCATTCTTGGATCAAAATCCGTCTATATATCATCAAAATATCTCAAATATCACGACCTATAAGGTGAACACAACAACGCAACAGACGTCAGAGACATAGACGAAAAGGCGGATAGACAGAGAGGCAGACAGACAATGAATTAAGTGAAGATCTATCTGACGTATGGCAGGATGTTCTTCACCCGCAGAAGCTTAGTACACTTTTGTCCCAAAAAAGGGGCAAAGTATAAAAGTTGAAATCATTTTTCAATCTGCCGCAAACTTTAGTAACAATTTTGTGTAGAGACTCTTTAGCTATTCGGCACGGAGTAGCCAGGAGAGGTAGTCCTTTAAATATCCCCCATCACACTTGCTTAGTAAAATGTTTCACTCATTTTCGTCAATCAATAAAAAATATCAGATTAATGTTGAAAACTTTTCCTAACAATCATTTCTTTACCTATCGTCTCTTAACTGAGTACCTAAACTTATGTAACAGCGTTACATATTACTGCTTGTTCAAGGTGATGTTGTGATTTGTTGAATCTTGCCAACAAAATTTTATCAATAAAATACGCAAAATATACGCGAAAATGTTGTCATTCCTATGTTGAAGTACAAAATGATTATATCGTTTTTATCTGTATATTTCTTCGCTTAATAGAATGTGTACGGCTGTTAAACTTATCAATCAATATTCTATAATATATCTCAAAGCTTTTCTCCTCGTTACTTAGTTTTTGTAGTGTAAGCAGTTAAATGCTTTTTTATGTTTTGAAAATCGCTTTCACTCCACCTCTTCATTTACATTAATTAGTGTAACTTTTTCACTTTTCAACCTCATAAATCTGCAATCAAATCAAAGCGAAATAAATGCATGCGGATTTACTTTTTAATTTTATGAATGGATTCGAAGAAAAAATCTACGGAATTTTTCAATTCAACAGACATGAGTTGAAAAAGTGTAAATATTAAATTTCTTATAAATAAAAAATGAAAAAAAAAAAATATTGTGATTAATGTTTCATTCAATATGTTCAACGTAATACAAATAATAGTAAAAAGTAAAAAACAAATCATTCCGATTCATTTATATGCCCAGTTGATTCTCAATAAATTACCTTTGCATAAACAATAACAAGGAATGACGCAATTGTGTAAGTAAAGTAAGGGAAAGAAAAATCAAAATAAGAAAACAACAATAAAAAAATAAGAAAAAAAAAAAAACAAAAAAAGTGAAAAAATCAGAAACATCTTTTTTTATTCTGGCTTCCAAGTTTCTATAAAAATAGTTTATCTATTCTTCTCGGAAAACCTTACATCAAAAGCGTAGATAGATGATAGTCTTATATCGTAGTAAAACTTAAAGCTTTTTCCCTCTCGCGCAGAAGGGTTAAGTGTATGTGAGGTAGGGAACCGCAAAATTCCTTCACATTTCTCCCCCCCGAAAAGAATTTGAATAGAAATCAATTTAAAAACAAGCAAAGATATTGCATTATGTCACGGTCCACCGTTAAACACTCTACACCGCTACGTAATTCATATAACTATTAAAAATGAAGCGTTACGTGTGGGAACGAACAGGTCAAAAAAGATGTTCCGATCTGAACCATTTTGAATAGCGTTGGTTCTTGGACCTAAACACTTCGCTGCACCAAAGTATCTCAACACGAGGGAGACAAGCGTACTGAGAGACGGATAAGTTTAAATCGATTCACAAAGAGATTCTGAATCCGTCGGTATAATAATAGATGGGATTACCTAAAGTGTTTCTAGGGTGTTCCATGCATTCGTATAAATTTACTATAGCCTTTTACTCGTAGTGGTGGATAGACAGAATCGAATGTAAATATTGTTATTGAAACTAAGCTCCGAATGTTTCCGATCGGATATCCTAACCTGTCACAATCACTACAATTTGCACATAATTTGTTATTAGGATTGCTTCATTGCATCGTTTCTCTATATATATATGGTAGCGAAACGATCTCATCGCACATAATTTCGTAGAAATGGTTATGTGAAGAAATCTTGTACTTTTTAAGAAACGTGACATAATAAAAGATAAAACTACTCATTTAGTTAATAACTTTAC